AAGACTTGGTTATTCCAGCTTGCAGGACTGGCCTAGGGTAATTTTTAGGGGGGTTTTAATTATATTTTAAATTCGACAAATATTTAAATATTCCTTTTAATTAATTTTAAATTTGTATTGTTTTGTATGTATTTTAAATAGATTGTCAGCCGCCCTGAGTCCTACGGGAGAAGGGCGGGATATAAATCCAAATATAAAATAAAAAATAAATAAATAAATTTTGTATTTTCCCAGATGAACGAACAGTGTAAAAGATGTGAGATAATGGGATTGGCTTTTTGGCCAAGGAGGGGTTTGGATGGTCATTTCCCACATCCTTTGGACTCATAGCTCTTGGGGGGAGGGGAGCATTCATGCTGTTGCCCTTCCTTTCTATGGGCTGTCAGGTTTTCTTGGTTAAAGAAGCAGGGGCGGTCAATACTTAAGAAAGTAGCAACAGGACTTTAAAATATGTTATATTTTAATTATCATGACTTGTAAGAGGCAGGGGATGATGAAGCACATAGTTCATATTGTAAAATAGGCAGCTAAGAAAAGAGAAAAGCATACTTCCTGGGGCTTTGATCTGTCTCTCTTGTGTGCTTAAGTCGGAGCCACGTGCTAGAAGAACTATAGCATTAAATATAAGAGGAGTGGAAGTTTGCACACATGCACCCAGGTAATAATACTGTGGCTTTTGAGTAAACCAGAGTGCTTCATTGAGTAGCCAAGAGGCTGAAATAGTGGCCCTTTTCACCTGGCCAGGTCACCCTCCTCTAGCTTTTTTGGCCCAGCTAAACAAGCAGGCTGCTTGCAGTGAATTCCTGGGGAAGAGAGTCCCTTTTGGTGAAATCAAAATTCTGTCCTGCCCTTAACTCTTTTGTCGTGGGTAAAATTCCTACAAAGGGGGACAGGAAAAGTGAACAGAGAAGATATAGGTGGCGGTAGAGCTCCCAAGTAGGACCAAATGACGACGAGTTGAGTCGCAGGACCCAGAGTAGCAACATGATACCTTAATGTCAAAATGCCACTCATGGTTGTTCTTGACTTTTGTAGGTCCTTGCTGCAAAGGTGGTCACCAGTGCCCGAAGCCCTGGGGCAAAGTGCTACGGCATTGTGACCATGTCCTCGAGCACAGAAGTGGCCAGGTGCATTGCCCACCTTCACCGCACAGAGCTCCACGGGCAGCAGATTTCCGTTGAGAAAGTAGGTGGAATGACCCCCGACCAGCAGTTTCTAGAGCAGGGAGGAGGAAAAGGGAGGGGAGAGAAGATAGCGTTACCTCTTTGATTTTAACAGTAGCCTGTGCATGTTTCACTCAAGAAACCTTGGCCCACCTAGCCAGTCCTCATGCAGGAAGCCTGGTTTGCTTGTCCTGGTCCTGCAGATTTGAGAAAAAGTTCTGTCAATGACCTGGTTTGAAAAGAAGCCAGGAGATGGGTCAGTTTTGAGAATTGGGCTAGGCAGGCCATTAGCAGTTCAGAATCCTATGAAAAAAGTTGCAGTGGAGAAGTTCTGTTGTGGAGGACTGACCCCCGGGAGTGTTTCAGGACCCCCTTTGGAGCCCAATTGGGGGGGGAGCTCCTTCCCACCGTTCTCTGACAGGAGAGGGAACAGCCCCAGTCGGGATGGTGGAGCGTTTGAGTTCAGTGCAGGAGGATTCTTTGGGACTGGGGTTTAAGAGTTGATGATCCCTTTTATTCATAATTGTGGATGTATACAAGTGTGTGTGTGTGTGTGTGTGTGTACACATAATGCATATACATAATGTCTACAGGTTAAAGGTGATCCTTCCAAAAAAGAACTGAAGAAAGAAAGTGATGAGAAATCTGGCTCTGGCAGGAACCCTGGAGAAAAGAAGACTACATCGAGTGACAAAACCAGCAAGTAAGAGCTCTGCACATCCCCAAATTTAATTGCCTGTCTAAACTGTTTGCAAAGAGCTAGTTGCAATCCTGACCTTGTTGGGCAGGTAAAAGGTTTGGAAGCTCTGCAGAACACAAATACCACCCACCCACCCACACATATATCACCTTTGGCTGTGCGGCTTCAGAAACCTGCCTTAAGGAGAATATATAACTTAGTCACATCTAACTGAATCGCCTCCCTTCAGATAAAATGTGAATTTTTCTGGAATCGAGTTCATCACCATTTATGGTTCTTACTCCTATTTTTAACAGAACTCCCTCCAAAAAGGAGGATAAGAAAGCTGATAAATCTGAGAAGAAAGAGAGCAAGGATATGAGGAAGCCTGATGGGAAGGATGAGAAGAGCGATAGTGGGTCCGGCTGCCCCAGTCAAGAGCCTGCCAAGGCACCTGAAGACAGGAAGCGGCTGAGTACGTCCAGGGGTTTCCTTACCTAGGGGGCCGGGAGGCAGCAGGCAACGGTCATCAGCTCAATGTCAGCTGTCACCTTATGCTTGCTGGGTTTCGCTGTTGCAGGGTGACAGTCTGCCATGAACTGTGGGGAGGGGAATGAGGAGGGGGATGATTGGGGAACCGAAAGTAGAGACTGCACCTCCTCAAGCCCACAGGTCACCCAGCTGGAAGAAGGAGGGGGCCACATCCCAAGCTGCACTTGGACTGACTGTTATGAAAACATTTTGCATGGACTTGATTGGTTACAGTGGGGTGGCCAGTGAGCAACACTTGGGGGGGAGTAGAACTTACAGATTTGGGCACACAGTTCTAAATTCTGGCTATGCGATACTGCAATACATTTGACCTCTAATAAAACTATACCTTTCTCAACAAATGGAGCGAAGGATTGTTTCTATTTAGAGGTTCAGGTTGTGGCCAGTCTGACACCAAGTCTTACTCAGATTGGCCATTCTTGGCTAAATTGCTCCAAGTATATTGGACTGGCCTCTTCCTTCTGTTTGGTTAAAAGGTCCATTGCTGTGGTTCCTGCCTCCAAAGAGAAGGCATTCAGCACGTCTGGAAGGCATCAAGAGGAAAAGCCCTCTTGGGGCCTTAAGCTGTGTCTGATTGATTCATTTCAATGAAATATTAACATTTTTAATCAGATTTATTTAGCAATGTTAATAAGGCACTGCCTCTTTTTTAATTCTGATTTTTAAAAGATCCAGTTGCTAATTGTTTTCCTAGGGGCAAGATTGCAAATCCATCTGGGGTTTTTTCCCCTTCTTATTAAACATGTCTCTTTTTTTTCTAAAGGTGTAAAAAGTCCAAGTCATATGGTCATTTTAGACCAAACCAAAGGAGATCAGGTTCACCCAAGGACTATAAGAAGAGGAAGGTTTGAGAAGGTACGTAAAATGCAAAGCCTGTAGGTGGAAGTAGCAAGAATTGCAAGTAAATCTAAAACCAGAGTTCTGAGGTTAGTTTGAAGGGCTGGAAGGCAGATATGGTCGAAGATCTTTCCATCCACCTGGGGGGGGGCAGGCTCACCACGTACTTCTCCAGCAGTTGGACACAACGGGCCAAGGTTGATGCAGTAACCCAGAACATTTCTTTTCATAAAATGTTCTTAGTTGCCAGCTAGTTTTCTTTTTTGAAATTAGAGTGTGTGAGAGAAATGTTCTCTTTTCAACTATCTGGCTCTTTTTAGCATGGTTTAGAATTGTTCCAAGCCCTCAACTGAGTGCCGTGACCTCAGAAGGCATCCTGAGTATTGAGGGTGTTTGAAGGATTTTGCATTTGAAACAACAGCTTCGCCCAACATCAAGCTTTGCTGTTAGGATATTCAAAGTGAAACATTTTCCACATCTTAACTCTGAGGCATTTGAGTCTTGAAAAGTCGATTTCAATTTCTAATACATTAGTCCATAGTAAGGATTTGAACAACTGTTGCTAAATCTGCATTTATACAACTTGTCTCCAGCCACCTATGTTAAGGAACAAAGAGCGTTTTCTTCACGATAAAATGAAGTTCAGAGACTACCGAGGCAGAAAGGACATTTTGCCTTTTGAGAAAATGAAGGAGCAACGCATGAGGGAACACATTGCACGATTGGAACGAATACGGCGTGCTGTGGAGCTCAGAAGGTAGGCTTCTGAAGCGGCTCTTCCTGAAGCTCCACAAGGACATTTGAACAGCTACCTTGGTTTACATTTTTCTGGAAGCCAGAAAAATAGCTTGATTCCAACCCATCCCAGCCCCGGGGAAGGACTGGGCAACCTCCTTTTCCTTTCAGGTGCAGCCTCATCCGGGACATCTCAGGGAGTTGTAGGGACCTGATACACAGGAGGCAAACCCGTCTCGGGGCCTCCCCTTCTTGGCCGTCCACAGCTGGGGTGGGGTCAGAAGCAGGAAGGTGGGATGGGGAGGGGTTCTAAAGACATCCTATAGAATTTTCCACCTGTCAGCTTTATAAAATATGTTACGGGCACATCTAACTATTATTCATCAGGATTTCTTTATTGTTGAGATTGTTTCTGTTGTGCTTTTAAATATTTGGGAGCTGCCTTGTGAGTACCCAGGAGAGGAGTTGGGAACTGAAGCTTCTGCTTCCTCCTGCCGTTCCGTGTCTCGTGTTAATCTGGGACGACCCCCTCTCTGTGACGCTTCCTTTTGCAGGCGAAGGGAAATGGCGGAACGAGAGAGGCGGGAGCGGGAGCGGATCCGACTGCTGCGGGAGCGTGAAGAGCGGGAGCGGCTGCAGAGAGAACGGGAGCGGCTGGAAATCGAACGGCAGAAGTTGGAACGGGAGAGGATGGAGCGGGAGCGCCTGGAACGGGAACGCATTCGGATCGAGCAGGTGTGCTTGGGGCTCCCCATCCGTTTTGCTTCTCTCGGGGGCTCTGATTGCAGAGGGGTGCATGCAACATTTCAAACTCGAAATTGCCTGCAGAGTGTTTGAACGGCAGGACAAAATGGCTGTTCTGTCGCTCCAATTTTATTGGAAGTGTGCCAATCCTGTTTGGAACAAAACAGCTTTTGAAGAAGAAATGTGGGAGCCACATATCCACGTGTCAACTAATTAACCTTTTGCTCTTGGTGCAGATCAACCCCCAGCAATAGTATTACCCGCCTTGGTATGGCTGCTGCAAAGGACTTCTTTTGTGTTTTTAATATCACCAGTGATAGCAATGCTAGTCTGACTGCCATATGTTGGATAAAGTGTTGGCATTACCAGGCACTATCTGAGGCATCTCTCCCACGCCCAAATTCAGCACGGACCGTGCCACTTGGGAAGCTGCAGAGCTCTGAGGCCTTTGTGCAGAGCCAGGGCTCCTTTTCAACAAGGGTTTCTCTTCTGGTTAGGAGCGCCGTAAGGAGGCCGAACGGATTGCTCGCGAGAGAGAAGAACTGCGCCGTCAGCAGCAGCAGCTTCGCTACGAGCAAGAGAAAAGAAACGCCCTGAAGCGGCCTCACGATGTGGATCACAGGTGAGTGGGTGGGTGCCTGCCATGGGAGTCCTCCTTTCTGAGCAAGTCTGGACTACGCCGGCACCAGCAGGCCATTCGGGGTGTCCCAGGGGTGTCGTTCATGTGACCTTTTCAAGCCCCGCGTGTTTGGGTAGCTGTTTGGGTTTGAATGGGCTCTGGCCAAGAGCTGACATATTTCTTTCCTTTTAGAAGAGACGAGTCCTACTGGAATGAAAGCAAGAAGATGACTTTGGATACCGATGCCCGGTTCAGCCATGGGTCTGACTACAGCCGGCAGCAGAACCGGTTTACTGACTTCGATCACCGGGATCGGGGCCGATATCCCGAGGGCTCAGCAGTGCAGCCCTCGTCTTTTGACAGGTGGGTACAAAGAAAGCTCTGGGGGTTCGGAAGCAAAATGGCCGTTAGCACAAGAGGGCAGAGAACTTTGTAGCTGCACGGGCGAACTTCAGAAAAATAGGATATTAAAACCCAGATAACTAGAGAACAAACTTCTTAAGAATAGCTAGAATTATGATGGCAAAGGCTTGGTGAACATCTTTCTTGCCACCAGACTATATATCACTTTGAGATTCTTTAAATAAGAATGTCTTTAATTATAATTTTAATTAAAGTCGGCATCCCTGTGCCCAACTGCAAGACTCCCCCAAGTTTCTGCCTTTCTGGTGCTGCTACGCAAGGTTGAGTTCTAGGCGGGCAAGCACGCATGTTTAGTAGGGGATGTTGAACTGAGGAGGACTCTTTAATCTGAAAATGCACTTTGCTTTTCTGATCAGGCGCGAACGATTTGTCAATCAAAGTGATGGCAAAAAGACTCGTCCAACAGGAAGAAGGGAGGACCCTGGATTTGAGAGATACCCCAAAAACTTTGATTCAAGAAGAAACGAACCCCCCCAGCCTCGCAGCGAGCTCCGAGATGGTGAGAGAAGAGAAGTGAGAGGAGACCATGATGAGAGGAGGACGGTGATAGTTCAGGAGAGGCCCGAAATCCCTCACAGCCGGCACCCTCGGGAACCTGGGCCCAACTCCTCCCGACAAAGCTCTTGGAAGGGCGAAGGAGGCATGAACCCCAACAAGCGGGATGCCAGGTGAGAGATGGCCGGCAGGGGCCTCTGCCCTCCTCAAAAGTTGGGGATCCTGGAAGAGGTCACTCCCTCCTCCCATTGCAAAGGCTACATGCGACTGTGAAGCAGGAGCAAGCGCTGGGTTGAGGAGGACTTTGGTGGGATATTCAGGCCCAGCCACATCCCACATCTTGTGGCCAAGGGCCTCCGTGGAGCAAGCAGTGGTTCAGCCCTCGTGGAGGCAGCTCAGAGCACCGGGTTGACTCTTCTTGTTTCCCCAGAGAAAGGACGGAAAGATCCGGCCGAGAGGTCTCTGGGCATGCAGTGAGAGGGGCCCCCGCAGGCAGCCGCAGCGGCGCATCCGGTTATGGAGGCCGAGAGACGGAGCGGGCCATGATGGAGCGGGGCAGTGGTGGACAGGTGAGCCCTCACCGGCCGGGCCTCGGAATGGGCTGGCAGCAAGCAGGGCCTCGGCTGTACTCCTTTTTCACAGGGAGGCTGCTTCAGCTGGGATCTGGAAGCCCTTCCCTAGATTTAGATGGGCTTTCTAGCCCTCCGAGTGATAGCTGCAACTGTAGGAAATGGTGTAAATTCCTCCGTACAGTTAACACTTCCCAAGAATTGCACTTGGGTAACTATTTCCTGAAGCCAATCTGAGTGTCAGCAGAAACATCTTTGTTTCTCCCATGTCTCTAGCAGGGAAGGTCCCACTGAGCACCTCCATCTTGCAGCCATAAACCAGCCCTGAGAGATGCTGCAAAGCTTTTACACACAAATTGGGGCTTCAGATCTCAAGTGGGGATGCTGAGGGCGGCAGGAGCAAATGGCTGCAGGATTTTTTCTTGGATTGTCACCAGTATGCCTCAGTTGACCATTAGAGCTATCAAACTGATCACTGACCCCCTCATACACACACACACACACACCCCTAATCTGTGGAGGCCAAGCATTTACATGAGTTCAACCATTTCTGTTCTCCCTGGACCAACTCCCTTCCATGCTTTTTGATGGATTAGAACAGTGGTTCTCAACCTGTGGGTCGGGACCCCATTTGGGGTCGATCGACCATTTCATGGGGGTCGCCAAGCAAGGCTGTCCGCCATTTTTTTTGTCCGCCATTTTTTTTCCCCTTTTCCGGCGGGTGCCTTACCTCCCTTGGGCTGGGCCAGCTGGTGGTCGGCCTGCTCCGTCTCTGCCGCTTGCCAGCTACGCCTCGGCCGGCGCAGGGGGCGGAACCACGCATGTGCGGCGCTCCCGGGCAGGGAAAGTCCTCGACTTACGACCGGTTGGGTAGTCCTCGACTTACGACTGGCTTAGTCCTCGACTTACGACCGGCTTAGTCCTCGACTTACGACCGGTTGGGGTCGCGGCATTAAAAAGGTTGAGAACCACTGGATTAGAACTTGTCCCCCTGCTGGAGAAGGCGTGAAGTTGTTATGGTCTTAGATTAACCTTCCTTTCCTTCCTTCCCAGCATTATAATGAAGACCGCCATGTGGTTGAGCGGCACAGCCGTGATGCTGGGCCAAGGAAAGAGTGGCATGGCCCCAATTCGCAGGGCAGTAGTTATCACCATGACACAAGGAGGATGGGAGACAGCCGAGCTGGAGGCGGCATGATGCCTTCTCACTCCAGGTACCCTCCCCCCCCCTGCACTTGAAATCTTGTAGCATTTGGCACTCAGTTGTGTGGCCCTGGGCTGGTGGTCCACAATTACTAAATCCGTTCAGTGCATGATACTGAATGGATTAGGCCGGAGGAAGCTGGCAGTCTCAGCCCTTGGAAGGCTTCTCCTATGGCATGAGTAACCCATTACGGGATCCTTGCCCCCCCGCCCCCCAGTGGAGAGGCCTTCCCTTGCCTGAAGCCCAGGCATTGCCCAGTACACTTTCTTTTCTTTTCTGCCGTTCCTCCCAATGGGGGGGGGCAGCCTCTTGTCACTCCCCCTTTTTGGCATCCCTGCTGGCAGCCTTTGAAAAGGCAGCATGACCCAGCTGTTAGACCACCTTCTTCACTCTCAGAAAAGCAAAGTTTTCCATTCTTCAAAAACTCATAGCTGTTTCTCTTTAAAATTTATTCCAGCAATTCTTCACCCATTAACAGAGTCGTCCAAATTGCTGGCAGTTCCCTGCAGAGGGGAAGTGGTTCTGGATTTAAGCAATTTAAGAGTGGACCTCCACGGAGATTTTGAGTCCTTGCATCTGCTCGTTCCTTGGTCTCAAGATAACTTATTGAAAATCTCTTGTGAACAGAAAGCTTTGGATAAGAAAACTTGTCTTTTTAATTTTTTGTTTTAACATGGCTACTTTTTCCTCACTTGGAGGCATTTTAAATAAGTTAGGCTGTTGGGTTTGGGGTAGTTCATGATATCTTTTGAAGAGTGTTGTTCCCTCTAACTCTAGGAGCTCCTGAATTAATGGGAAGCAAACACATGCAGACTGTACAGAGAACATGTTCTGGCCAGGTAGTTTTAATTTACCAGCATTAGCTCTGTGAACGTCAGTCTTGAAAATCAGGTACTTACCACAAAATATATGGGAAACTAAAGCTGTACATCAACCCCCCTGCTTTTCGGTGTGTAGAAAATAAGGATGGTGGTTTTAATTTCTGGGTATTATGTAACTATTTTTGCAGAACTTGTTACACTGAGTGGATCCAAACCAATGTATCTCCTTTCCAAATAAACTTCATAATCTGTATAGTACCTGCCTGGATAGTTTAATGTGTTCAGTCCTGTTCTCTCATCTTCATACACTTGAGTAAAAGATGGTTAGCGTTGTTTCCCTGTATTGGTTTAACTATGCCGTAAAAATTTGATACTTTCTGGAAAATAATGCAGCTAAAGGTATAAAAGCACACTTTCAAAAATAGTACCGTTGCCCCACAAAGCGTGATTGCCCATTTACTCCCAGAGATTTGCTGCGTATTAATTGCTGTGGGGTAGGAAAGTTTGCCATTGATATTCTTCCTTTCCCGTCTGGTTCCACTCGGCCAGTTCGGTTAACCTATTTCTTGCCCAGGGATGGCAGTGAACTGCTTTCCTTAGTGACCAGAGGGGGCAATCTTCAGCACTCCTGTGCAGAAAAGTGAGTTTCTAGCATTAAGCGCCTCCTGAACCCCCTGGAGCTAAACAAAAATTGCTTGGGTTGCATTGCTCTTTCTTTGGCACACTTGCCTGGAGATGGCCTGACTTGTTGGAAACTAGGATGAAGTTGGCCTGGCCTATTGACTCTGGCTCATTTAGGGGCCAGGTCAGCCTCAATCTGGAGGGAGGGTCGGCCAAAGCAATCGCCTTTAACGGGATGCCCGGCCCACCACAGGACTAGGCAGGTTAGCTTCGGTTTCTCTGCTCAAATATGACATAAACGCTAGAACTTGAATCAATTTTTATTACATGAGAAAGTCACTTAACTCTGTTAAAAATTATATATAAAAATTAGACAATGAGACTAGTGACAGGTGTCGGCTCAAGACATCGAAGACTATTGACAGTATTCAACAGAAAACAGCTATTCGCTGATCACAGTGTAAATCCATGCAAAGTGTCTGATTTGCTAAAAGGAAGCTGATGACTAATAGTCCGCAAATATGGAGGACTGAAGGAAACACTGCCTGAAGCTTGAATGTATCACATCTAAGCGTGGCAGGGGCAGAAGGTCGTGGCTGCCACCACCAAGGCAGACGAAAGCCACTCTGGGCTAAGGCTCTGCAGTGGGCAGTGGAAGGGAGCAGCTCCCCGGCTGAGTTGACCAAATGGCCGCTTCCCCCCTTCTCCTTCCTCTCCATTAGTCCGGGCCTCCCATGGGGTTTGTGCTCTCCAGGATCGTAGAATGGAGGCAAAATGACTGCTGTGGGAAAGAGCCAAACCAGCAAGTCATTCTAATTACGTAAGGAAGCTCCTATCACAATTGCCATGATTTGGTGTTTTTCAGCAGTATCTTACAAAATTATAAAAGTATTTGGCAGTGCTCAGGGGTTGTGCTGATGAACTTGGTTCTGCATGCCTTCCCCCAGCAGAGCCCCTCGTCTGGTTTCCCTCCCAGATCGCCCCTGGTGCATCTGGTTCCCCTCAGTGGCAGGAGTGCTGGGCTAAGCTAAAAACCTAGGCGTCATAAGGCAGGCAGGGCAGCATCACGTGGAGGCAAAGCAAAGCGAAACAACAAAGTTTCTGCAGAGATAAAAAGGCAACTTAACGTTGACAGTAACTTTGGGGAGAGGTAGCCAATGGGAAGTCCGCTAGTAAGGCCTCAGGGACTGCCCTCCAGCTGCAGAAGCCACTCAACAAGTGGGCGGGGGGGGGGCAGAGGGCAACATCCTTTGAGAATGAAGGCCCCCTGCTGCCACCAGCACACGTCCCAACAGAGGCTGCCAAGCCCCCACAAGGACAGCTGCGCTGGCAAGACACGGAATTGAACTAAACTGCTCCTTGGCAGGAAAGATGCCCTTTCCCTGTGCCCTTCTCTACTCAAGAGCCATTCACCAGGCGCAGTGCTTCCCCAACACGCCAATGACCAGCCCCTGAGGAAGACAACGACCCCAGGACATCACTTCTGGCAGGTGACTGAAGCAAGCTGCCAGTTGGTCCTGTGTTTGCGAGATTTCTGTATGGCATAACCGTCAAACACAGCACGCAAGAAACAAAACAAGAAATGTACATTTCATGTAAACTGCAAGGCTGATTCCTTTTTAGGATAAACTTCAGTCTAACTTCAGGCTCTCAAAGCTATTGGAACAGGGTGGCACCTGGCCCAAAACAGATTAGGGTAATGCACACATCTCAAATAAGATTGGAAATGTGTAAGAGAGACACTTGCGTATCACTCCAACATGATACAAGGTAAATTCAGTTTTGCGTAAAACCATTACACATGTCAGCAACAGGCCAGGGCATTTCATATTTAAAAATGCATACACAGCAAATGCAAACTCAAACCCAAACCTCATTTGTGGAAATAATGTTGCTAAAATTAAATATTTATTCTTTTCCCCGTTCTTTGTCCTCCGGCTTAAGGTATTTAAAGAGCTATAAGGCAAGAGTTAGAGACAGGTCACTGCCCTGCGAGTCTAGACTCCATCCAAAAAACTGTTCATTTCAGGAAAAAATATTAAGCTACAGGTCTTCAATGACCTTTCAATCATCTCCTTCCCTGTAGTTAGATTACCACATTCTGCATGAATGTTGATTTGGGATTGAAATCTGTGTATCGACAGCTAAGTCTGTCCTTAAATCCAGTCTTTAGAAGTGCAGCAAAAATTGTCTAAAGCATTTGCAAAGTGCTATAAAGTTATTGAGAGGATGAGGGTCGCTGCCCTTCCTTCCTTGCAAAAGTCAACAGGTAATTCCAGCTGGGAGGCTCTCTCTCCTGTGACATGTAGCGTGTGGATTTATATTAGGTCTTACAAAACTGGATTCCATCCCCACTCCCAGCAGTAACTGCGCAGGGACACGTTTTCTCCAGAGAGAATAACCACATCTTAAGGAACAAAAAAGGGCCACTGGTGTCCAGAGGATTCATTTGTTAGGATCCGTGTCCTGAAACGATCCATTTCACCCAATACAAACAATGGCACGTGATGTGGCAGGTGACCGGCCACAGGTTCACGTTGCTCACACTCGATGCCAGTCTCAAGCAAATTTAAGCATCCGCTTCCTCCATTCTCCTCCCCCTCCCTATAGAGAGTTGATTAAAAACTGGAGAGACCAGACTGTGGCGAGCCTCGTCCGCAGGGGATCTCGCCTTCTCTTGCTTCAAGGCGTTCTGAAGCCCGATTCTTGGCCAGGTCAGCCAAGGAAGCTCAACTGAAGATTGCTGAGGGGCTCAGCCCGCCAGTCCAGGGACACCCCGTGCCAGAGCTTTCTCTGCAGTGCACATCGCCTCTTCCCATGATGATTCAGAGGTGCCCCAGAGGCAGGTAGTGAGCTGCTGCTTCGCCACCACAGGGGCACGCCCCCCACCTTCCCACCACGCTCCATCCCACAGCAGGCCACTCCCCGTCCAGATCCCTCAGCAAGGCTGCCCTGGCAGCGATTTGAGGAGGCCCTCGGTTGTGGGCTTCACAGGCACAGAAGGTGGGTGGGCCGCCCACTCACAGGGTCCCTGGTGTTTCAGGTGGATGCGCTGGGCTCCCAAGGTGCCCTTCCGCTATAAAATAGCACAGCTGCTCTTCTCCCGTTCCCTTTCCTTCTCCCGCGGTTCTTTCCTCTTCAGCTCACTGGCCCTGGGCTGCCTTCCCACTGAGGGAGGGGTGACGTCCTGTGCTTGCTGTTCAAGAGGGAAATACAGAGAGAAAAAGGCTGCTTGCTTGCACCCTTAGCTGAGCGTTTCCATAAAGCTAAAGATCCCAAGATGCAGACCAAGGGCCACCAAGGGCAACGTTGCCTTATGCCGGCCCTGCTAAACAACTGGCGTCTGGTGGCTGGAGGGGCAGCAAAGGCTGCAAATGTGCCAAATCCCCACAGATGGTGCAACTGAGGCCCCAGGCAGCTTGGGGACAGGAGGCATCTTTAGCATAGACATTTGAGAGTGGAAAATAACACTTTCTCTCATGATTTCTCAAAAACTATCATGAAGGAAAATGCATTTTCCCATGAGGAACACGATTACCAATGTGGTGTCAGAACATGCCAAAACCAGGACAGAAAATGAATCCGAAGACCATGCAGAAGCCCAACTTGACCCTCTTTCTCAGACTTCTGCTGGCAGGAGCACCAAGGGCTTCCTCAAGCGGCTCCCAGTGAGCATCCCAGGCAATCCCAGGCACCATTTTCTGCCCTTGAGTGCCCAGAGCCACTGGGAGAGGTGCCAGGAACCAAACCTGCCATTTTCCACATGGACAGTGGCCTCTGAGCCATGGCCATTCTCCAACAGCCCCTGGAACTACAGCTGCCAGTAGACCTTTACCTGGCCTTCAGCGGTGGTGGGAATAGTGGGAGCGGTGGCAGCGGCGGTGGCGGCTGGCTCTTGCTCCTGGTAGTACTGCGAGGCCCGTTGATCTTCTTCTTCCTGAAGCTTCCTGGCCAGCTCGAGGTCACCGACGTCCTCCGGGAGCTGCTCCCAACTGAGGTCTTGGCTTCGTTGCTCTTCTTGCAGAGATAAGGCCATCAAGTAGTCCTAAGGCGCAAAGCCGCCAGCAGTGAACGTGCTGGTTAGTTTGGCCCAACCCAAGCAGAGCGCGCCCTCCCCCATCCTGGCAGGCGCCTTCCATTCAAACTGAAGCACAACTCAGCAGTGAGCACCACGAGGCTTGGCCCCGGGTACAGGCCCCAAATGCCAGATGGGAGAGGAGGAATCCTAGGAGCTTTCGCCCCGTCCCACCACTCCAGGGACAGGAGGCCTCCGTGAGAGGTTTCCTGCAAGGTTTCCAAAAGGGGAAGGGGGTCCTTTCAGGGGGACACACCAGAAAGAACCCAGGTGGTCCAAGTGGGATAAGATGGCCAACGAAGTGGGTGGGAAGAGAGAGAAAATGGCCCCTGAAGAATAAAAAAGTCAAAAGAATGAAGAAGCTTCCCATGGCTACCTGGTCAATCTGATCCTGTTGCCCATGGTACACAGTTTCCGGATCAGATGGAGGCCGCAGGTGGAATTCAGAATCACAGAAGTTCCCATCCCCATCCACATTATGCAGACTTTCCCACACCACTTTATCTTCGGTGAGGAAACCTTGGTCGGTCACCAGAAGGTAAAGCTGACCCTGAATGAAAGGGAAAATTTCCCTGTTAACTGAGAACAGTCACTGTTTGCACTGAGATAAGCAACGCTGGCCTGCATTCTCTAGAAATCATTTGGGGGTCTCCTTTCTTGACAAAACTGCCACTCCACTCTTTTACTTCACACTGTGCGGCTGTAAGGAGCAATGACACAATAGCTTGGTGCACATAGCACACTCAACTTCATTAGTGAATTAAGGTATTTTCTGGGTTTGCACAATGCATGCAATCACAAACTAATTGGACATGTTAGGTTGCATGAGCAAGCTTCTACTCAACCTTTGCCTCTTATTCTCACATGCAAGCTCCCCCCCCCCCAAAAGGCTGAGCAGCCAGTTCCCCCCTCCCCCCCAACAGAAGCAGCCTTCTATCCCTGGAAAGAGAGCAAACAAAAGGCACTGCAATCTGGCCAGGGGGTGGAGCAGCTGTACAGGAGAATCAACACCCCCTCGGTCCTCCCCACCCTCTGAACAAAGCCCTGAGCAACTGTTTCAGCCACCACTAAAGGAAATTCTGCTTCCTTCCTGCTTCCTAGGCACAGTGGCTCAGCGAGCACACTCAGAAAAACAAACAAGTTAAAAGCACAACCAGGAAACATCTCAGAGAAGAGACTGGTCTTGGGAGGTGCTCCTCAACATGTTTACTGTGGCTTTTGGCCATTCTGCAGGCAGCAAGCTTGTGGAAGTGGGGACAAGAGGGAGGGAGGGAGGGAGGGAGGGAGGGGGAGAGCAAGAGATAGAGAGAGAGAGCAACTGGAAAAAGAAAGCAGAGAGAGAGAAAAGCGAAAGCAAAGAGCAAAGGAAGCCTGGAGAGGGGCATGGGGAGGATGGGGCATGCAACCTCCCCATCCCCTGCATCCAGAGGCTGGGCTTTTTGCACCTCTGCCTCAGTGCCCCCTTAGGCTGCCATGCCAGGCAGACACAGCCGGCCTGCAGATCAGAAGCAATAGAGGGCTACTTGCTGGTGAGGCAGAAGCGTGAGCAGCAACTCAGGTGCGGAAGGTCAGTCAGGGTCCCAGACGAAAACAGCCATGCCGTTTGTGGCCAGCTACCTTGTGTTTGGTCATGGTGCTGAAGTGGTTGTTTCTGAAGAACACGCACAGCTCTCCTTCTTGAACGGTGGATGTCAACTCACACAAGCCATGGTAAGTTAACTGAGTGGCCGTGCTACTGAGGAACTGCTCTGCTATGGAGCCTGCAAAGAGACACCACTGCATTTGAATGCACATGGGCTTGCCCCAAGGTCCCCACCCCAAGGAGCTGTTTCCAGTTCAACCTCCTAGACCAGCCAGTCGCTTTGCTCTGCTCAAAATTTGATCCAAAGTAAGCCTGAAGACTAGGGCAAAATGAGAGCTGGAGTAGGGTAGGAGGGAAAACACAATGAGCAGAAACCGAAGAGGAAAAGCACACAGCAGTAAGACAAGTGGAGAACCAACACGAAACTCATCAAAACAAGCAGGTTGACCAAAGGGTAGCACCCCCTTCCATGAAGAACTGATGGACACCCCAAAATCAAACTCAGGAATCAGAAAGTCTATCGGTCAAGCTTTTCTTGAGAAAACCCAGATCAACCCTAGGAAAAGGCCTTCCTGCCTGGCTTGTGGAGAGAGGTGTGTTCTCTTAGGAGAACCCTTCTTTCTTCTAAAAGAGCATGGGAGAACCTGTTCCAGCCAGAACGCCCTTCCATCTCCAGTAAGGAAAACATCCCTCCCCTTTTCTAAGTTGCAGCAGCAGCAGCTAATGGGAATTCTTCAAAGGAAGCAGAGGCTCTGGGGAAAAAAGCAGCCCAGAACTCTGACCTTTTTCTGGCCTTCCTGCCTGGCTGAGCCACAATTATGCTAGATCACAGGAACATTTGCTCTGAACTGCAGGCCTTCACACACTCAAGAGCGCAGCACCCACCTTCCTCCCTCAGCTCGCTGTTGTCCGACTGCTTACAGCAGATTATTTTTTCCACCAACTGGTTGTAGCTACAGTTACCAACTGCTTTCACAACGTCTCCAACCTGCAGCAAAAGAAAAGGGCTGCCGTTGGTAAAACCCACAATGTGCTAAACCCAACAGACACCAGTAAAAAGGTACGGTACATGGGGCTCCCACCTGCGGTCAGGTGGGAGGGCAAAGGGTAAAACAAGTATTCCAGTGGACCCCATCACTCAACAGTGCAGCTTCTTCTCTCAGATGAATCTTGTGAGATTTTGGCCACAACGTTGAGATCCATATTTTGGTGCCCCAAGTCATGTCTGAAGTGCCTGCCAGCCCCGCCTGTCACTCGAGGGGTCTTCAAGCCCTCTGGGTGATGAAGCAATAGCCAGCATCAAGAAGGCTGGAAGCCGCTTGCAAGCCTGCAGTAGCCCATGAGCGCAGGGAGCTGCCTGTAGCTGAGCTCTTCTCCCATCATCCACCACTCTGCGATCCCAGGGATGGGACGGTTGAGAGCACCACGGAATGTCTTTCCTGCAGTGGCTGCTCACTGAAGGCTTCCTACAACCCCATTTTGGAAAAACACCCCAACGGCCATGTTACTCCAGGCTTCAGGAGTCAAACAACATCTTTCCTTGCTATTTCTTGGGCCTTTAGCAAAGCTTGTTCTACATGATTTTTAGGGCTTTAACAGCTCAGTTGTTTTAATTGCTTTTAAAAGCTTTGCTAAATTGAAATGCCTCTTCTTGTTGGTGGTTTTGGTATTAAACATTAAAACAGCACCTTCTGGCCATAATACTATTCACATAAACAGCCTCTTGCTTACCTGAGGATCTACTAACCACCCGTGATATAATGGAATATCAAGAAGATCGAACACTATGCATTCAGGCGTGTACTCAAATACTCGAACCCCAGTGAACTTCACATTCACGTCAAGACCAGTCTGAAGCTTATGCAGGATTGCCATTGCATCACTGACATTCTGTTAAGACCAAGACAAAAAATTAATGAAAAAGCTGAAGTCAGTTGAGTGCTTAGACTACATGCTTTGTCTGCCCTGTACTACGCAATCTCTAGGCTGCCTCACATTACAACTGCTTTCATGTTAAAGAGAACTACTTTTAATTTGCACTGCAAAATTCTAGATGATCAGAAGTTGACAGCAAAGAATTTTCTGAATCTCTTTGCTGCCATCTATTAATCATGCACATTTTTGCAGTCCCAATCTAACTGTCCTATTGTGAAACAGGGTGAATGCACTGAAACAGAGACTACTTCACAAAAACCATCTTTCCCTTCAGAATATGATAAAGTATACAAAAGTCTGACTCTATGTTCCTGCATATTTTATGCACAGGAGAAGGCTTCCGCTACTTGGAATTTGACTGGGCATTTATACCAATGGAAAAATCAAAGCATCAGAATTCACTTTTAGGAAATGCCACTTCAAGTTAAGCTTTTTACCTGTTCATAGTTTAAACGCTGAATTTCAGAGATTTCTTTTGGTTTTGAATCAAGGATATAGTCTCCTGCAAGAAAACCAAAAGTTCTCATTTGAAAACCATTAATTCTACAATCCAAACAGATTCCATCTTGCTACAGATTGTCCTCCAATTAGCAGAGGGATCCTGCCGATGCCGCAATCCTTTGGGTTTTCAGAGCAAGAAAATCCTGAGCCAGGGCTCCAAATTAGGCAAGTGTTGCTCGCCAACACAAAGAAGCGGCTTCCTTCGGCAGGCTTGCAAAGGTCAGCCGGTCCCGTAGCCGGGACGGGCCCGGGAGAGGCAGGCTTTCAGCAGGAGAGGCAGAAGGCGGGGGAGGGGGTGGAGGGGGCGCAGCAGCTGCCCCACCCCCACGCCGGGGGGCTCCGGTGGTCCCGGGCCGCCCAGCAACAAGGGAGGCTCCCGGGCATCCCGGGGGGGGGGAAGAGGCGGGGAGGTTTCGGCGGCTGGCTCGCGCCTCTTTCTCAGCCCCCAAAGGTTAATTTGTAAAACCCAGAAAAGGTCTCTGCGCTCAGGAGGGGGAGGCGGAGAGGGAGGCGGAGAGGGCCCCCGCCCAGGGACTCCGGGGGGGGGGAGACAGAAGAAGCGCAGCCCCCGCCGCCGGCTTCAGGCTCGGAGTGCCGGCGGACGCCGGGAGTTCGGCATCGCCCTTCGCGGGGCGGCCGATTTCCCCCCCCCCGCCGCCGCCGCCGCCCCCCGGCCAGGGCGGCGAGGCTGGAGCCGGGCCCGGAGCGGACTCCCCGCCGCGCCCTCGCCCGCACCCACCCAGGTACTCCATCAGCTGCTCGGCGGTGACGATCTCCATCATGGGCGGCAGCTTCACCTTCCAGGCCAGCAGCAGCGCGTTCATGACGGCCAGCAGCGGGCAGGGCCCGTTCTCGTTCTGCGTGACCACCGGCGCGCTCGCCTCCCGCCACCGCACCCACTTCAGGTGGTAGGCGGCCTGCGGCGGGGCGCGCTCCCGGGCCGGCGCGGGGGGCGNCAGGGCAGGGCAAGGCAGGCGGAGGCCCCGCCCCGAGGGCCGGCGGCTGGGCGTGGCGCGCAGGCGCAGTCGTGCCGGAGGTGCACGTGCGGGCGCCGCTCCCTTCCCAGCCGGGTTGGCGGCTCTTCCCCGGCTGCCCGCCCTCCGCTACTTTATTATGTACGCAATTGTTCGCAGTGATAAACCAACCCGTGAACCCTGGCCGGCACAGCGAAAGGCCATGAGCCACCCGAAGGCATCCTCTTGCCTCCCCGCCCGCGTGAGCTAGCCGGGGTTTGCTCCGGATTTCGGGCTTCGCGCAGTCCCGGAACTCTGCAACCCGGAAACGGGCTCTGGTCTGAAAGGTCCCGCTTGTGCGGTGGGGGCTGAGGAGGGTGGCGGAGACCCGTCAGTCTGATGCGCCACTCGGGGGGCGCGAGGACCCGGACGGTGGGCAGCCAGAGCCTGACCCTCCGGAGCTCCTCAGCGGCCGCGGTTGCTGCAGGGCTATCGCGTCGGCGGACCCGGCATGGATGCGTAGGCCACCTCCCCTCCCAGGGAAGCCCCGCATTCTCAAGGGTGCTTGTAATGGCTGGGATGGGGTCCCTTCAGACATCTTTTCGAGTTTTTTATTCCGCTTTATTATTTTTATAAATAACTCAAGGCAATGAACGTCCTCCTTCCTCCTCTTTTCTCACAGCAACAGCCCTCTGAGGGGGCTGGGCTGAGAGAGGAGGACTGGCCAGAGTCACCCAGACGGGTTTTCAAGCCCAGGGTGGGACTGGGACTCACCATCTCCCGGTTTCTAGCCTGGTGCCCTAACCCGCAGACCAAACCGGCCTCCGTGGAGGCTTAACTGCCTTCGGCGGGGCTCTCGGGGTGCAGCCCAAGGCGAATCCGGAGTCGTCCCTTCCACCCTCTTCCTGGAGGTCAGCAAGACGGGAGACGGTCCCGGTGCGTTTTTCCCACCTTCTCAGCTCTTAGAAGTGCAAAAGACGAAGCAACCTCACCAACGCAAACCCGGCAGTCAACATCAGAGGCGGTTCATTCTGAGGGTTTCGAAAGGAGCCTGGAGGTTTTCTCCACACAGAACCGGCTACTCAGCAAAGCGCTGCGGAGCGACAAGTGCAAGAAGAGCCCCGAGGCCGCATCAAGCTCGGCCCGCGAAGTTCCCCCTTGGGCGAGCAACCGGGCACCGAAGCCCCAGGCTCGGGCGGTGGAAACGGCCACCAATATCTACGGAATTGGCAGCCACCGGAGGGTGATCCTGCGCAAATAGGACCAGAGTGGCCCCTTCAAACCAGACGGGGGAGCCGACTCGTCCCCGCTTGGGGTCTCGGGGAGTCGAGTGCACTGCATAAATCCCCTCTGTTTGGCACTGATTTCCATGCAGCCCGCCCAGCAGCCCAGGACCTATGGATTCGGGTGGAAAATCTCCTGCGCACCTTGCAGAGAAAGGGGAACCTGACTGTGGGAAAACTCCAAACGTGGCGAAGAGCCGAACTGGGTCCCAGCCCCAGCCCAGCCGCCCGCGCAACAGCGGGCGGCCGCAGACAGGACGCCGCCGCCTTCCCCTTTAAGGCCAGCCCCGCCGCTCCCGCCCACGGCGCGTCCTTCCCTTCCCTCCGATCAGGTGACGACGGAGAGGGCGCGTGAAAAAAAAAGAAAGCGCGTCTTCGGAAAGGCAGAAGAGGCGGGGCCAGGCAATTCTCCCGGGAGTGGGCGGGATCTTCCCTTTCTCGGAGGCCGCCTGTGACTGGCTGCGCCGCGCTGGTCGGCGGGCGCGTGCCGGGGGAGGGAGGGCAGATGCTGGCCGCGGGGGCGCGCGCGGCGAGCGCTGACTGGCCGGCCCAGCGGCCGACCGGCGTGTGAGGCGCGCGCGCGCGCGCCCGTCCGCCTAAGGGAGGGAGCTTGTTCTGAGGTACTTTTGGTGGGAACCGGAGCGAGGCCGCAGGCGGGCGGCGCCGGCGAGAGGAAGAGGAAGCGGCGCCGTGCGGTCCCCCCCCGCCCTTCCTTCCCCGGCCGGGCGGATGCTTCGTGGGTAGGCGGCGGCGAGAGGCGGCCACCTGGCTGTGGCTGGCGGCGGGGCCTGGCAGGGCCGGGCGAAGATGGTGCTGCTGAGGGTCCTCGTCCTGCTCTGCTCCTGGGCGGCCGGAGCCGGAGGTAAGCCCGGCCGCGGCCGCGGCCTCCTCCCCGCGCCTCCAGGCCGGCCGGCTGGGCAGGCCGTGATGAGCACCGGCTTGCGCGGCCGCGGAAGCTCCGCTCGACCGCCCCAACTCGCCGCTTTGGCGGCTGGGCCTGGAAAGTTTCTCCGGCCTCGGGCAGCGCCAGGGCGGGCGGGTTCCTGGCTGGGCCGTCGTGCGCCGCCTCGACGCCGGCCTTGACTTAGGTGGACTTCGCCCAGTCGGCGCTTCCTGGAGCAGGGCGGCTGCCTCGGGGCCGGGAACCGCAGCTGGGGCCCCGGTAGTTGGGCGGCTGGGGGTCACCGGGGCCGGGTGTGGTTGGGGGGGGTCCTCCAGGAAGGTGGGCCGGGGCCCCCGCTTGCCCGCCCCCTCAGCTGGACCATCGCATCCCGGGCTGCCTTGTGGGGGGCGCAGCCCCTCCAGGGTTTTCCTGCCAAGGGCTCGTGGAAGGGCGCGAGGGGCGGCCGTGGTCGTGCCGGCTCGCCGGTGATGTCATAGGGCCAGCCGGGAGTGACCGATACTACCAGGAAGTGGGGAGGGCGAGGTTTGGCGCGTGCCAAAAAGCAGAAGGGGGGGGGGGAGTCCGTAGCGTCTGGGTGGCGCCCAAGAGGCTTCCTTATCTAACTGCTTAGAGTGGGATCGGGCATCCTCTGCCATTGGGAAAGTTGCTGCGTTAAGTTTAAAAGTTCATATAGTAGTTGATTAATTCAGCCGTAAGTAAGAAGGTGTTTGATCAGGACATAGTTGCCAAATGCTTTTATGAAGACCCCCAAGGGGTAGCAAGGTGAAAAAAGGCAATCGGAACCTTCTCCCGCCTGTCTGCCCCACCATCCAAGAACGGAAATGTAACTGTGGCAAGGAAACTTTAGGAACAGAAAATGGGTGTCCTGCCTGATGTGATAGCAAAAATGAAATCATAGGAAGGTCTCTGATACTTCAGCGCTTTGTAGGCCAATTTAGAGCTATAGGGCTAAAATAGATAAAGAAAATATATATGTATGGGTTGCTCTGAATTATTTTGCATAAAATGTATCATAAGGTCTTGAACATTTCATTGAGATGAAGCCTAGCAGTGCTAATGCTATATTTAACTGCTTATATTTACATTTCTGTCACCAAATTGTGCTAATTACTAAGTACTATTAAATACAAAATGCTGTATTAATGAATTAGTTGATGTAGTATATTTCCAAATGGAAAATATCAATAATATCAAACTAAATGTTTTAAAATACTAAACTAAAAATGTGACCTGATGATCTTCATGAAAGAGTGGGAAGAGTGAATGTTCCAGTTTGGGAGTGAAGCAGAGAAGAAACTTCTTACAGGGCTGTTAATCAGAGGACACTTTGTGGATAAACTTTACCAAGACCCAACTATCTCTGAAACCAAAGAGGCTGACATACTGTATATAATTTTCAGCACTACATGGAAGACCTAGATCAGGGATGGGTTGAGGAGTTTCCTCTGGACAGTTGTCTTAAATTCTGAATCATAATATATCTATATCAGTGCACATCAAAAAACATTACACTTAATCCTAGGCCAGTACCTCTGTCTTGTCTGGATTTTAATTCAGTTTGTTCACCTTCCTTCATTGTATGTGATTGGTAACACTATTCTGAAAATATTCTGTCCCTTGTAAAACTTGTAATTGTTTGAGAATTTGCAGTCTTCTGTTCTTTGAAAATAAATTTTCCATATCTCAGCACATATCCAGAAGGGCCAATTATTATTCAAAATATCTCACCAGTTTTGTTAAGGTTGTTGATAAAGTTAATATCAGAGTCACTTTCATCTTTGGCAATAAAATCCACTGTTTCTAAAAGAGAAAATTCATGGTTGCAATTATGAATTTTGGCATCAGTCTTCAATAAGCTTCTAAATTGGATAAAATGCTGGATTCATATAGTATTTAAAAACAGCCAACCAACCAATTAGAACTGAGTCAGAGCTCAGGAAAAAAGACAAATTCTATGCATTTCTGTAAATAGAAAGTTTTCTTATTTTTGAGTTTACTAAGGAACAGTTGAGTAAGTTGGAAGACTTATGATTGTTTAGATATCATTTTATGCTAAGTATGAGGAGAAACTTAGTTCAAGTAACCTGAAGGCATCTTTGGTATTTCTCCCCCCCCCCCTTTCCTTTTGTGCAAGAAATAGCAAAGGCTTTTGTTTTCACTTTTGAACTAAACATTATTCTGTACCATATTACATCTAAACTCTGCCAATTGCTGTAGACGGAAATAAAGTGTTAATTAAAGGCCTGGTGGGGTGGATAAGAATGGTAGACTAGGACATTTCCTGGTTCACATATTTCTTCTGCCATGAAGCTTGTTAGAATTCATTTCAAATCATCTTTGAAAACATGACCTGTGTGTTGATTGTGTTGGAATGTGTTCATTCCTAAAATATTGTTAATTCTTCTCAAAGAGTGCAAGTATGTTTGTTTGCTTTGTGACTAGAAAGTCAGCAGGTTTTAAAGATAATTCTTGGAAGTATTTAGTCAGTTTTTAACCAAGAAATCAGTGAAATAATTATACATTTCAAGAGCTTGCATATCCACCCCGAGCTTGCATATCCACCCCGGGCGACCCCAACGATGCCCTTGACGTGATGACCCGGTGTCTGGAGGCCGTGAGGGTCTGGATGGGGAGGAACAGACTCAGGCTCAACCCGTCCAAGACCGAGTGGCTGTGGTTACCGGCGTCTCGGCATAGTCAGCTGAGCCCATCGCTGACTATAGGGGGCGAAACTTTGGCCCCCTCGGAGAGG